CACCTGCAATTCAGCTCTTTGGGAGGCGAAGGTGGGAAGAATTGCTTGAGCTCAGCTTGGGCAACATAGTGAGACCCCATCTCTATAAAAAGAAAAAGAAAATAGGGCCTTGTCTCAAAAAAAAAAAAAAGGAAAACAAAAATAACAAGTATTTTTCACATTTTGGAACTGAGATATGAGAGAAATTCCCACACTGCACCACAGTTGAGGTAGTGGACCACCAAGTTCAGGCTATACACATTTCACTTGGCTGTTGCTTCAAAGGTCTTGTGATGTAACAACAAAGAGAACTTCGGTTGAAGCAATTTTATGAGAGGCCACAACACATGAATCTGACCCCACTGAAACCAGTAGTCAGGATAAATGAACATGCTGTTAGGGTACAAGTCAGCCAAAAATTTTTCTTTAAGGAAAAATAGACATTACTAACCTAATAACACACCTGATTCTTTGCTTTAGCCTAATAAGGAAAGCAGATTTCAAATCAGTATGAGGAGCCGGGCAGGGTGGCTCAGGCCTGTAATCCCAGCACTTTGGGAGGCTGAGGCAGGTGGATCACAAGGTCAGGAGTTCAAGACCAGCCTGGCCAACATGGTAAAACCCTGTCTCTATTAAAAGTACAAAAAAAATTAGCTGGGCGTGGTGGTACACACCTGTAATCCCAGCTACTCAGGAGACTGAGGCAGGAGAATCGCTTGAACCTGGGAGGTGGAGTTTGAAGTGAGCCGAGATCGTGCCACTGCACTCCAGCCTGGGCAACAGAGTGAGACTCCATCTCAAAAAAAAAAATCAGTGAGAGGAGTTCCCCTTAGCCAGTGATTTGGGAAACTGTTGGGAGCTGTGGTAGTAGCAGAACACAGGAGAAAGCCACTCAGGAGCTGGACAACGTGGTAGCAGTGGGAATGCAGAAAGTGGACATACTAGAGACATGTTTTATGGTGAGACGTAGTTCAGATTCACAACTGGCTCACAGATTTGAAAGTGGGAACAAGTGAAATCAAGGCTAATAGTTCCTAGGCTTTGGTTTATAGTTTTGTTTTCTCTGGTGACTACATTCTTTCATTTCACAACTTTGAGAGCCTGCTAGGCAACACATTACATTCAAGGTGCCCAATTACAGAGGTGGGGAAGGTAAGGCCCCACTTTTGCTTGAATGCTGAAGCTAGTCTGCTGGATTCAAATCCCAGCTCTGGTCTGGGCATGCTGGTTCGTGCCTGTAATCCCAACACTTTGGGAGGTCAAGGTGGGAGGATCACTTGAGCCCAGGAGTTTGAGAGCAACCTGGGCAACATAGTGAGACTGTCTCTACCAAAAAAAAAAAAAAGAAAAAGAAAAATTAGCTGGGCATGGTGGCACATGCTCATAACCTTAGCTACTCGGGAAGCTAAGGTGAAAGGATGGCTTGAGCCCAGGAGATCATGGCTGCAGTGAGCCATGATCATAACACTGCTCTCCAGCCTGGGTGATAGAGTGAGACCCTGCCTCAAAAAATAAAAAATCCTGGCCAGGCATGGTGGCTCACACCTGTAATACCAATACTTTGGGAGGCCAAGGCAGGTGGATCATTTGAGGTCAGGAGTTCGAGACCAGACTGACCAACATGGTGAAAGCCCATCTCTGCTATAAATATAAAAAAATTAGCTGAGCATGGTGGCACGTGCCTGTATGTCCCAGGCTGAAGCAGGAGAATTGCTTGAACCCAGGAGACAGAGGTTGCAGTGAGCAGAGATTGCGCCACTGCACTTCAGCCTGGGAGAAAGACTGAGACTCCATCTCAAAACAAAAAAAAAGAAAGAGGCCAGGCGCTGTGGCTCATGCCTATAATACCAGCACTTTGGGAGGCTGAGGCGGGTGGATCACGAGGTCAAAAGATCGAGACCATCCTGGTCAACAAGGTGAAACCCCATCTCTACTAAAAATACAAAAATTAGCTGGGCATGGTGGTGCGCGCCTGTAGTCCCAGCTACTCGGGAGGCTGAGGCAGGAGAATTGCCTGAACCCAGGAGGCGGAGGTTGCGGTGAGCCAAGATCTCTCCATTGCACTCCAGTCTGGGTAACAACAGCGAAACTCCGTCTCAAAAAAAAAGAAAGAAAGAAAGAAAGAAAAAAAAAAAAAATCCCAGCTCTGCCACTAACCCTGTGACCATGGGCAAGTTACTTAATCTATCAAGACTCATCTGTAAAATAGGCATAATCAAAGTATCCACCTCCTAGAGTTGTTAAAGGCACTATTCTAAATGCCTAACAAGATTAAACATTAGCCAAGTACAGGCTCATGCCTGTAATCCCAACATTTTAGGAGGGCAAGGCAAAAGGATTACCTGAGCCCAGAATTTTGAGACTAGCCTGGGCAACATGTCAAGTCAAAACCCTCCCTGTCTCTACAAAAAATTAGCACACCTGTGGTCCCAGCTACTCAGGAGGCTGAGGTGGGAGGATCACTTGAGCCTGGGAAGTGGAGGTTGACATACTACAGCCTGGGCAATAGAGCGAGACCCTGTCTTAAAAAAAAAAAAAAAGCAACCAAAATAAGTTTTAGCTATTAAAAAAAATTTTTTTTTTTTTTGAGATGGAGTTTCGCTGTTATTGCCCAGACTGGAGTGCAATGGCACAATCTCGGCTCACCGCAACCTCTGCCTCCTGGGTTCAGGCAATTCTCCTGCCTCAGCCGCCCGAGTAGCTGGAACTACAGGCGCACACCACCATGCCCAACTAATTTTTGTATTTTTAGTAGAGACAGGGTTTCACCTTGTTGACCAGGATGGTCTGGATCTCTTGACCTCGTGATCCACCCGCCTCAGCCTCCCAAAGTGCTGGGATTATAGGCATGAGCCCCGCGCCCAGCCGTTAGCTTTCATTCTAGTGGAAGGAAGCAGAAAATAAACTAGCAGTAAATATTACGTTAAAGTTCAATGAGGAACATTTAAAAAGGAGATAATCAGAGAGAGCTTCTTGAACTACTTTACTTAAGTGTTCAGGAGATGACATTTAATCTGAGACCTAAATGGCAAGGGGCTAGACATGAGAATATCTAGGAAAATAACATTCTAGAAAGAAACAACAAATGCAAACTCCCCAAGGCAAGGAGCAAGCTTAGCACATTCCAGGGACAGAAAGAAGTTACAGCCAGGCACGGTGGCTCACACCTATAATCCCAGCACTTTGGGAGGCCACGGAGGGCAGATCACTTGAGGTCAGGAGTTTGAGACCAGCCTGGCCAATGTAATAAAACCCTGTTTCTACTAAAAATACAAAAAAAAAAAAAGGACCGAGTGTGGTGGTGCATTCCTGTAATCCCAGCTACTCAGAAGGCTGAGGCATGAGAATTAGTTGAACCCAGGAGGTAGAGGATGCAGTGAGCTGAGATCATGCCACTGCACTCCAGCCTGGGTAGACAGAGTGAGACCCTGTCTCAAAAAAAAAAAGGGGGGGGGGTAACAAAGCTGGAATTCAATGATAGAGGGACAAAATGAAGTTGTAAAGCAAGTAGTTGACGAATCACTAGGTCCTGATAGGTCCAGGCAAGGAATTAGATTTTATTTACTTATTATCATTATTTTGGGGGAGAGTCTCACTCTGTCTCCCAGGCTGCAGTGCAGTGGCAAGATAGCTCACTACAACCTCCACCTCCCAGGTTCAAGTGATTCTCCTGCCTCAGCCTCCTGAGTAGCTGGCATTACAGTTGTGTACCACCATGCCCAGCTAATTTCTGTATTTTTAGTAGAGATGGGGTTTTGCCATGTTGGCCAACCTGGTCTTCAACTCCTGACTCAAGCGATCTGCCTGCCTCAGTCTCCCAAAGTGCTAGGATTACAGGCGTGAACCACCACCCTCAGTCTTAGATTTTATCTTAAGTGCAATGAGGACCTAGGGGAGCACTTTAAGAGGAGGGTGGCATGATTTGTCTTACATTTTAAATAGATCAGTCAGGCTGCTGTGTGGAGAATACGTTTTAGGGTAGCAAGAAAGGAAGCAGAAAATTAGGAAGCTATTACAGGACTGCAGGCAAGAAATGACAGTGACTTCATTTGGGGTAGTCCGTGATAGATCTGGGATGTGTCTTTGATACAGCATCAACAAGACTTAACACTTTAGCTGGAGCACAGTGGCTCACACTTGTAATCTCAGCACTTTGAGAGGTGGAGGCAGGACGATGGCTCGAGTCCAGGAGTCTGAGACCAGTCTCAGCAGTATGGTGAGACTGTGCATTTCTTTAAAAAAAAAAAACACTGCACTCTAGCCCTCTAGCCTGGGCGACAGTTAGACCATCAAAATAAATAAATAAATAAATAAACAAATAGCTTACTTCTGCCTTTCAAGTTTGTTGGGAGGATAAACAGAGCTGTAGGATAAGAGAAAAACACTTAGTCCAGCACCTGACACATATCATAGACATTAGGGTAACAGCTGGCTCTTCCTCCCTTTCACAGCCCTGTGGGGATTTTAAAAAATAGCATCTCATGGTATATTGTCAGTGTTTGTAGTGATGGACTACACCTGTGTAGACCTCGTAGCATGTATTAATAAATATATTCTTCAAAAACAGACATTTGGGGGTTGGGCACGGTGGCTCACACCTGTAATCCCAGCACTTTAGGAGGCTGAGGTAACCTTAGTTCAGGAGTTCAGTACCAGCCTGGCTAACATGGTGAAAACTGGTCTCTACTAAAAATACAAAAAATGAGTCTGGTGTGGTGGCACGTGCCTTTAATGCCAGCTACTCAGGAGGCTGAGGCAGGAGAATCACTTGAACCTGGGAGGCAAAGGTTGCAGTGAGCTGAGACTGCGCCATCGCACTTCAGCCTGGCCGTTAGAGTGAATGAGATTCTATATCACACACACACACACACACACACACACACACACACACACACGGCATTTGAGAAGCACTTGCCAATTAACTTTATACATCTAGAAATAACATCACCAAATTAACTACCATTATTCTATATATAAACAATTTGGGTTCTTTTAACTGATACTTCAAAATCTCTACTTACTTTTCTCATATTCCTTGCAATCATTTGCTAGGAGGTGGACCTGTCAACAGGAAGGGAAAAAAATTATTTTCACCAATACTCAAAATAATTATCACCTAGAAAACCCAAAACACTCAGGGAATTTTCAGAATTCAATCAAGCCCATCCTACTACCTCCAAGTTTTGACTCTGCCTAAAACACTTCTCCTCACAGTCGGTTTACCCCAAACCAGTAAGAAACATTTAACAAATAATTAAAAGTACTGTGCCAGGGTGATTGTGTTGCTGAGACATGGTTGTTGGTGGCTGGGGAGTGGCAGGCAAATCCAGCCAAGAATTGTATCCTAAACCATGAGCTCTGATGATTAAATCACAGGATGTTTGAGTTTGGGGGCTTGATGTTCATCCCAGTTTGTTTCCTATCGAGGAAAGCATTTGATGTATAAGAGGCTCCACTGGGTGCAGTGGCTCATGCCTGTAATCCCAGCACTTTGGGAGGCTGAGGTGGGCAGATCACTTGAGGTCAGGAGTTCGAGACCCGGCCAACATGGCAAAAGTCCATCTCAATTAAAAATACTAAAGTAGAGCCTGGCATGGTGACTCACACCTGTAATGCCAGGACTTTGGGAGGCAGAGATGGAGGATCACAAGGTGCAGAACAAGACCAGCCTAACATGGTGAAACCCCATCTCTACTAAAAATACCAAAAGTTGCCGGGCATGGTGGCGCATGCCTGTAATCCCAACTACTCAGGAGGCTGAGGCAAGAGAATCATTTCAACCCAGGAGGCAGAGGTTGCAGCGAGCTGCGATAAAGCCACCGCACTCTAGCCTGGGCAATAGAGTGAGATTCCATCTCAAAAAAAAAAATTACAAAAGTAGGCTGGGCACAGTGGTTCACGCCTGTAATTCCATCACTTTGGGAGGTTGAGATGGTTGGATCACAAGGTCAGGAGTTCGAGACCAGCCTGGCCAATATGGTGAAACCCTGTCTCTACTAAAAAATTAGCTTGCCGTGGTGCTATGGGCCTATAGTCCTAGTTACTCGGGAGGATAGGCAGGAGAATTGCTGGAACCCAGGCAGTGTAGGCTGCAGTGAGCGGAGATCACGCCACTGCATTCCAGCCTAGGCAACAGAGCAAGACTCCATCTCAAAATAAATAAATAAATAAAAGTAGCTGGGTGTGGTGGCAGGTGCCTGTAATCCCAGCTACTAGGGAGGCTAAGACAGGGAGAATTGCTTAAACCTGGGAGGAGGAGGTTGCAATGAGCCGAGATCGTACCTTTGCATTCCAGCCTGGGCAACAGAGCCAGACTCGGTCTCAAAAAGAAAAAAGGCCAGGCGCGGTGGCTCAAGCCTGTAATCCCAGCACTTTGGGAGGCCAAGGCAGGTGGATCACGAGGTCAAGAGATCGAGACCTTCCTGGTCAACATGGTGAAACCCCGTCTCTACTAAAAATACAAAAACTTAGCTGGGCATGGTGGTGCGTGCCTGTAATCCCAGCTATTCAGAAGGCTGAGGCGGGAGAATTGCCTGAACCCAGGAGGCGGAGGTTGCGGTGGAGCCGAGATCGCGCCATTGCACTCCAGCCTGGGTAACAAGAGTGAAACTCCGTCTCAAAAAAAAAAAAAAAAAAAAGAGTAATGGTCTGTTCTACTCCCTGATTTAATGAACGTCTCTGGGACACAATTTCTTCAACTGTAAAAAAAGGCAAAGAAAACGCTTACTTGGTAAGTTCATTGTGAGGGATTATCTATGACGCCGGAATGGAAAGAGCTTTACAGAGTGCAGAGCACTGCTCACACATGAGTAAGTGTTTGCAGGTCCAACCACTTCTGGGGAGGAGGAAAGTGTCGCCTCTTAAAAGAGGCCAAACGCTTTCCCAAAGTCCTAACAGCCAATGAAGGGCTCGGTGATCTCCACGCATCAAGCTCTGCCCAATTCTCAAAGCCTGGTTCAGGTACACTTTTCCCCCAGCCTAAGGCAGAGGCCCAAGGGCGAACCGTCCCGGGTTCTTCTCCCACCTCTGCCTCCAAGTTTACACCCTCCTAGGACTGGTGCGTGTCCCCGGTGGCCTGGGCTGCCAGCTCGGGAAGAAGGCGGTGGCAAGAGCACCCGGGCGGCCGAGGGCTAAATAACGGCAGTTGCCCTGTCAGCCCGGTCACCTGTCACTCCCTCCCCCGCTTCTCCCGCACCGTGGCCGCAATCCAGCCCGGGCACTCCGGGGGCTCTCTTTGAGCCGGGCACGGTCCTCGCCGCTCGGCCGAGTGCAGCCCCCTCACCTCAGTGCGACTGAAACAAAGCAGGGTCCCGCCGGCCCCTGTCCTCTCCCTGAGGCGCGCCCTCAGTGGGGGAGCCCCCACCTTGGCCAGCCTCCAGCTCAGTGGTCCAGAGGCTCGGCTTCCGCGCCGCCGCCCAGGACCTTCCTCCTCCACAGCCGTCACTGACCGCTCCCTCTAGACTGGACCCCGCTGTCCAGCAGTCCGGACAAGCCCGCGCCGCACTCCTCCCGCTCTGGCCGTGCTGGCACCGGTAGGGCGCCCGCAGCCCCCCAGCCTAGAGGGCGCCCGGCGGGCAAGCGCCGGGGGCGAGGGGGCGGGGCGACGCAGCGCGGGGCGGCCGGCGGTTGGTGCTCGCAGTCCGCGCGCCCGTCCTCCAGGCCACGTGACCTTTGGGCCCCGCCCAAACCGGGAGTTGCGCGCGGGCTCAGGGTGCGACCCCCTCCCAACCGAGCGCCGGGGTCGGGGCCTTCCTGGTGAAAGAGGGCACCTTCCCATGATCGGCCCGTTGTGCAGAAGAAGCGAACTGAGGCACGGCGGCAGGCGGGGCGTCCAAGCAGTTAGAGCAGCGCCTGGCCGCTAGTTCGTGCGGGAAAGCGTTGTCTCCCTTCCTTCGGATGGAATTGGAACTGCAGCTCCGGGACCGAACTGTGCGGTCCTTGAGTTCACTGTTGTACCCACAGTGCGCAGAGCACAGGGGCACGCAGTACATTATTTGAATGACCAACTCTGTTACCTGGCCTTTCTCTCTCTCACTTGTTACTCGTCCCCTCCCCAGGAGTCTTATAAAATAACCAGTGGAAGGAGAGACAGAAGTGACTTATCTGGGGAAGAAAACCTCCTCTTGCAAATCAGTGACACAAGGGAGTTAGTCCACCCAATGTACAGCTTTAAAAAAAAATTGCGGGCCGGGCGCGTTGGCTCACGCCTGTAATCCCAGCACTTTGGGAGGCCGAGGCGGGTGGATCACGAGGTCAAGAGATCGAGATCCTGGTCAACATGGTGAAACCCCGTCTCTACTAAAGATACAAAAAATTAGCTGGGCATGGTGGTGCGTGCCTGTAATCCCAGCTACTCAGGAGGCTGAGGCAGTAGAATTGCCTGAACCCAGGAGGCGGAGGTTGCGGTGAGCCGAGATGGCGCCATTGCACTCCAGCCTGGGTAACAAGAGCAAAACTCGGTCTCAAAAAAAAAAAATTGCTACGTAGGAAAATAATAGAATAGGGTCAGAGGGGAGCTCAGCTAAGAGCTTCACTGGGATCCAGGTTTGATATGATGGTGGTCTGAATTTAAGTGATGACAGTAGGGATAAAAAGAAAGAAAAATTCCAGCCTGGGTAACATAATGAGACCCTGTCTCTACAAAAATAATAATAATAATTATCCATGTGTGACGGCTCACTCCTGTAGTCCCAGCTATTGGGGCAGGTGTTGGGGTTGGCTGAGGTGGCAGAATCGCTTCAGCTCCAGGAGATGGAGGCTGCAGTGATCACGACACTGCATTCTAGCCTGAACGACAGAGGGAGACTCTGTCTCAAAAAAATAAACAGAAGTAAAAAATATTTGAGGTAGTTTTTGGAGAATAAATGGGACTTGCTGATGGATTGAACAATGAGGAATGGAGAGGGAGAAATCAAGAGGAAATCCCAGGGATAAAGTGTTCTGTTTGGGTTTACGACGCAATGTCAAGTTGTCACCGAGACAAATGGATACATTAGTCTGGAGCTCAAACAACACACTGCTGAACTAAAGGTGTGAAATGGGAGCATATAAATGTGTATTTAAACCAGGCTCGGTGGCTCATGCCTGTAATCCCAGCACATTGGGAGGTTGAGGCAGGTCAGGAGATCGAGACCATCCTGGCCAACATGATGAAACCCCATCTCTACTGAAAAAAAAAAAGATGGGCGTGGTGGCACGTGCCTGTAATTCCAGCTACTCAGGAGGCTGAGGCAAGAGAATTGCTTCAACCAGGAAGTCAGAGGTTGCAATGAGCAGAGATCACGCCACTGCACTCCAGCCTGGCGACAGAGCAAGACTTCATCTCAAAAAAAAAAAGTGTATTTATAGCACTAAAAATGAAAAATATCACTTAAGGTGAAAGTAAAGAGAAAAGAGAAAAGAAAGGGCCTGTGGCTAGGGACAGGGGCTCACGCCTGTAATCCCAGCATTTCAGGAGGCTGAGGTGGGTGGATCACCTGAGGTCAGGAGTTTGAGAACCGACTGACCAATATGGTAAAATCCCATCTTTACTAAAAATACAAAAATTAGCTGGACATAATGGTGTGTGCCTGTAATCCCAGCTACTCAGGAGGCTGAGGCAGAAGAATTGCTTGAACCCGGGAGGGAGAGGTTGCAGTGAGCTGAGATCATGCCACTGCACTGCAGCCTGGGTGACAGAGTAAGACTTTCTCAAAAAAAAAAAGTTATTGTGGTAGAATAGCACAGTGGCAGGGGATAGAGTAGAGGCATTAAGTTCAAGGAATTTATTTATATAGTATGGAACAGAAGAACATGTTTGTGTTGCTATTGCGAATGACCCAGTAGAGAGAGACAGATCAATGATCCCAGACAGAGGGACAGCGATGCCACACTCTTACTGTTCTGGGGGTGGCCACTGTTGCTTAGCAACCTGTATTTAATGTTTCAACTGAATTCCTAATCAGTGGCCATTTCAACTTATGCCAATGGTTCCTATCACTGGGGTTCCTGCTTTACTTATTTCCAACTCTGAAACCAGACGTTCAGGTTTTTACTTCCTTGTTCTGTTGATGATGTATGCATTTTTTGTTTGTTTATTTGTTTGAGATGGAGTCTCACTCCGTTGTCCTGACCTCAGGTGATCCACCTGCCTCAGCCACCCAAAGTGCTGGGATTACAGGCGTGAACCACACACCCAGCCTTTTTTTCTTTTTTTTCAAGATGGGGTTTCACCATGTTGGTCAGGCTGGCCTTGAACTCCCAACTTCAGGTGATCCTCCCGCCTTGGCCTCCAAAGTGCTTGGATTACAGGTGTGAGCCACCCCGCCTGGCCAAATTTGCCGGGTCATGGCCTTTTTTATTGAGAGGGAGTTTTGCTCCTGTTGCCCAGGCTAGAGTACAATGACACATCTCTGCTCTGGGGCCCCGGAAACCTCCACCTCCCGGGTTCAAGTGATTCTCATGGCTTAGCCTCCCGAGTGGCTGGGACTATAGGCATGTGCCACCACGATGGCTAATTATTTTTTTAATTTATTTTTAATTTTTTTATTTTTTTTGAGACGGAGTTTCGCTCTTGTTACCCAGGCTGGAGTGCAATGGTGCAATCTCGGTTCACCACAACCTCCGCCTCCTGGGTTCAGGCAATTCTCCTGCCTCAGCCTCCTGAGTAGCTGGGATTACAGGCATGTGCCACCATGCCCACCTAATTTTTTGTATTTTTAGTAGAGACGGGGTTTCACCATGTTGACCAGGATGGTCTCAATCTCTTGACCTTGTGATCCACCTGCCTCGGCCTCCCAAAATGCTGGGATTACAGGCATGAGCCACCGCGCCCGGCCCTATTTTTTTTTTTAAACAGAGTTTCACTCTTGTTGCCCAGGCTGGAGTACAATGGCTCCATCTCGGCTCACTGCAACCTCCACCTCCTGGGTTCAAGTTATTGTCCTGCCTCAGCCTCCCAAGTAGCTGGGACTACAGGCACATGTCACCACACTGGGCTAACTTTTTGTATTTAGTAAAGGTGGTGTTTCACCATCTTGGTCAGGCTGGTCTCAAACTTCTGACGTCAGGTGATCCACCCACCTCAGCCTCCCAAACTGCTGGGATTACAGGCAGGCGTGAGCCATGACATGGGGCTTTTTGTTAAAACGGAGTCTTGCTTTGTCACCCAGGCTGGAGTGCAGTGGCATAATCCTGCCTCACTGCAACCTCCGCCTCCGAGGTTCAAAGATTATCCTGCCTCAGTCTCCGGAGTAGTTGGAACTACAGGCACATGCCACCATGCTGGGTTAATATTTTGTTTTTTGTTTTTTTGAGATGGAGTTTCGCTCTTGTTACCCAGGCTGGAGTGCAATGGCACCATCTCGGCTCACTGCAACCTCCGCCTCCTGGGTTCAGGCAATTCTCCTGCCTCAGCCTCCTGAGTAGCTGGGATTACAGGCATGCGCCACCATGCCCAGCTAATTTTTTGTATCTTTAGTAGAGACAGGGTTTCACCATGTTGATGGCCTCGATCTCTTGACCTCGTGATCCACCCGCCTCGGCATGCGCCACCATGCCCAGCTAATGTATCTTATTTTATTTATTTATTTTAGTTTTTGGTTTTAGGGTTTTTTTGTTCATTTGTCTTTGTTTTTGTTTGAGACAGGGTCTCGCTCTGTTGCCCAGGCTGGAGTGCAGTGGCACTGTCTTGGCTCATTGCAGCCTCTACTTCCCGGGTTCCAGCAATTCTCCTGCCTCAGCCTCCTGAGTAGCTGGGATGACAGGCGCCCACCACCGTGCCCAGCTACTTTTTGTATTTTTAAGTAGAGATGGGGTTTCTCCATGTTGGCCAAGATGATCTCGATCTCCTGAACTTGTGATCTACCCACCTCAGCCTCCCAAAGTGCTGGGATTACAGGCACAAGCCACCACACTTGGCATATTTTCATTTTTTAGAGACAAGGTCTTGCTCTGCTGGAGTGCAGTGGCACAATCATAGCTTGCTGCAGCCTTGAACTCCTGGCCTTAAGCTATCCTTCCACCTCAGCCCCCCAAAGTGCTAGGATTACAGGTGTGAGCCACTACATCCAGCCACAAGAAATGTTTTTTTTTTTTTTGAGATAGGGTCTTGCTCTGTCACCATTCAGGCTGGAGTGCTGTGGCCCAATCTTAGCTCACTGCAGCCCCAACCTCCCAGTGTCAAGCAATCCTCCCATCTCAGCCAACCTCCTGAGTAGTAGGGACCACAGGTGTGTGCCACAAGGCATGGCTAATTTTTGTATTTTTTTGTAGAGGGGGTTTCTCCATGTTGCCCAAGCTGGTCTTGAACTTTTGGACTCAAGCAATCCACCCACCTTGTCCTCCCAAAGTGCTGGCATTACAGCTGTGAGCTACAGAGCCAGGCCTCACGGGAACCAAACCTTCTAATTGGTCTCCCTGCTTTTTCTCTCTCTCTCTTTTTTTTTTTTTTGAGACAGAGTCTCACTCTATCACCCAGGCTGGAGTGCAGTGGCGCAATCTCAGCTCATTGCAACCTTGGCCCTTGGGGTTGAAGCAATTTTCCTGCCTCAGCCTGGAATTACAGGTGTGCAATAGTATACAAGCTAATTTTTGTATTTTTAGTAGTGACAGGGTTTTGCCATGTTGGCCAGGCTGGTCTCGATTCTTGACCTCAAGTG